TGATCGTCTTTACGAGTCAAAGGAGTTTGAAAATAATGATTTATGGCGATTGAGATTTCTGACGATAGAAAACCACGGACGCTGTATATGAATAAATATTTAATAATATTTAGATTTTTCTTTCTGAAAACATTTTTTTAATGATTATATTATCATTTTTACTATTGTTTGTATTTTTATTATTTTATTCTTTATCATAATACTTTTTGTGCAAATACACAAATTACAACTAGTATATCATAATTAATGATTGCTGGACACATAAGTGATTTCTATATCGTTTTTTTTTTTAAAATGATATTAGTGTATCCACTTATGGACACATAAGCGTGGATGGTCAATTTCTATTATTATGAATGTACTATACTAATAATTTAAATTATGAATATATTTTATGAATATATTTTATATATATTAAAAATCAATAGTTATCTAAAATAAATCCATTTGAAAAAAAAATATTATTTGGCCCCTAAAAAAATTTATTTATTCTACACTTTATAGGCCTCAAACTTGACCATCGCGTGTGAAGTGAAATACATCACCAAAAACCAGAAATTTTCGAAAATATGTGAAAAAAACAACCAAAATAAGTAAACAAATAAATGGAATCATTCCGTCAGTAGTACTACCGTGTGCCTTGGCACACCTAGCTAGGTGTGCCAGGGCATATTTTACACGCGCCCTCACCACCCAAAACTAGAAAATTAAGAGAGTGTAGTGCACATTTCTATTTTTCTTTTTCTAATTGAAAAACGAGACATATTACATAAATTAAAATATCATTAATTATTTATATTAAAAAAATAAAATAAAAATACCAAAATTCATAATTTTTCATTATCTATAAATAGAGACCACATTTGATAGGTTTTTGAACACAACTAATTTTTCGTTTTTTCGTAATTATTTTATTATACTGACATATAATGAACATGTTACATAATAAGATGAATATGTTTTCAAATAAGATGAACATGTTACAGGTTGCAGATTGAAAATAATACATATTCATCTTATTTTATAACATGTTCATCTTATTCTATAACATGTTCATTTTATTATGTAACATGTTCATCTTGTTCTATAACATGTTCATTTTATTATGTATGTAACATGTTCAGCTTATTCTATAACATGTTCATTTTATTATGTATGTCTTATTCTATAACATGTTCATTTTATTATGTATGTAACATGTTCAGCTTATTCTATAACATGTTCATTTTATTATGTAACGTGTTCATCTTATTCTATAACATTTCATTTTATTATGTATGTAACGTGTTCAGCTTATTCTATAACATGTTCATTTTATTATGTAACATGTTCATTTTATTCTATAACATGTTTATTTTATTATGTAACATGTTCATCTTATTTTAGAATATGTTCATCTAAATTTCATATGTGAAAATGTAACATTTTCATCTTATTCTATGACATGTTCATCTTACTCTATAACATGTTCATCTTACTATGTAACATATTCATCTAATTATAGATTTGCGTCATAATCTTCCAACAAGATAAATTAATTGTGAAAAAAATAATAAATTAATTGTGTTCCAAAGAATATCAAATGTGGTCTCTATTTGTAGAGAATGAAAAATTATGAATTTTGGTATTTTTATTTTTATTTTTTGATACAAAATATGAATGATAATTTAATTTATATAATATGATAAATGAAATTCATTACCCAATAAAAATGGGACACATGTCCCATTAAAAAAAACACTTACCTCTTTACCTCTCACGCCCCTTTAGAGGGGATGTAATTCACATAAGGCCCTGACACACCTTGCTAGGTGTGTCAAGGCACACCTAAATATTTGCCTCATTCCTTCGGGTTTGTAGCCGTTAAATAAACTATATCTGACAGTTATATCTAACATTTATAAACCCGACGTAATGGTTCCGTATCTTTCTAAATAAACAAACAAATAATTGGGTAAACAGAGAGAGGTACGGGTCAAATTTAATCCTCTCCCTCCATTCTTCTTGTTCCCCCTCTCTCCCGTTCTCTCTCTAGCATACTCTCTCTCTCTCTATATCGGGATCTCATCCAAGGAGGCGCTGATCCTCCTTCCGCCGCCGCCTCCAGATCAGATCGCCGGCGTTTCCAAGATGATCACGATCCCTTATCTCACCGCCCTGACCACCTACTTCAGCTACGGCCTCCTCTTTGCATTCGGCCAGCTGCGCGACTTTTTCCGCAAGATTGTAGACTGGTGGGCCCACAGCAACCTTCAGGTATGTTATGTTGCGATGATTCTGCGTGTTGTGTGCGTTGATGGCTGTTTGAAATGTTTAAGTCTGTGAGATTCGGTTTTGAGCTGTAATGTTGTCGTGCTTTCTGATCGTGGAAGGGCTATGCGCCGATCTGTTTGGGGCTGGAGGATTTCTACATCCGGAGATTGTATCTGCGAATTCAGGTTCGTTCGTGGGAATTTAGGATTTTATCATTTTTGAAGCATTTGGTTATGTTTTTTCGTTTCATTTGTGTGGTGATCTGTCGGCAAAACAAAGTGTTTGGTATGGGATACTTGTTGATTGATTTCTATCAATTTCGTGTGATTGAAATTTTCAGTTCGTTCATGATTTTGTAATTTATTTTTTATTTTTTATTTTTTGAGATGTTTTCAATTTTCAAATATCTGATTGCTTTTGTGGTGAGATGCTGTTTGGGAGCTGGATTTATTTTATGCTCTCTTAGTGGGAAAGTTCGGGAAAAGAGTATTAATGGAGCTTTTCTTCATGATATTTCATCCTCCAATTTATATATTGACGAACGACAGGGAAAAGGAAAAACGATTGAGAATATCATGTTTCGACATGCATCAGAAGTTTATGCAAATTTTGAGAAGAGGAAAAATTTCAATTGTGTGAAATTCTAACACATCCACCCTACATCGTAAAAAGCTAGATCTTGTGGTTCACATTATTCACATCCACTTTTTTTTGGCAGGATTGCTTTAATAGACCTATAGCAAGCCCGCCCGATTCTTGGTTTGATTTGGTTGAGCGTGTCTCCAACGACAATAACAAAACATTAAAGTAGGTACTTGTTTCCAAGTTTGATGGCCTACTATTGTAATTTTTTAAGTTCTATTTCCAATAGTTCTTAATTCTTGTTTCTCGTTTCCGTGGTAAAACCAAAATGCTTTCTGGGTCTGCTCGCTACTGTTTCCAGCTTTTTTATGAGGCCCCAACTTGTAGATAGAATGCTACAAATTGATTACCTCTCAATATCAGACATTTTTGAGTAAAAGCTTCTTTTAGAACTTCTCGCTCATCAATACTATTTCGTGCAGTCGAACCACTAAGGTGAAAAGGTGTCTCAACTTGGGATCATATAACTATCTAGGGTTTGCATCAGCAGATGAGTATTGCACTCCTCGTGTAATTGAGTCCTTGAAGAAATTTTCTCCAAGCACATGCAGTACTCGGATTGATGGAGGTAATTTTTCTAATAATATATACATGCATGAGATTATAGCTTATGGTGTTTAATATTGACGGCCGAAATTACATGACCAGGAACAACTACATTGCACACCGAGCTGGAGGAGTGCGTAGCAAACTTCATAGGAAAGGAGGCTGCAGTAGTTTTTGGCATGGGTTATGCAACAAATTCTGCCATTCTTCCTGTATTGACGGGGAAGGTACATGCCACTAGTCAGACTAATATCCTCTGTCCGTTTGCAATTTTATTTAGTCAATGTGTATCTACATGCAGGGAAGTTTAATTATCAGCGATTCTCTCAACCATAACTCGATAGTTAATGGTGCTCGAGGATCTGGAGCCACTGTTAGAGTGTTTCAGCATAATAGTAAGTTTATCGTATTCTTTTTTTCTTTTCACCTTTCCCTTTCCTTTTGCTTTATCTTTTTTTTCCCTTTTCCCTTCCTTTTTTTTTTTCTTGTCTATTTGTCTTTGTTTTGGTCTCTTCTCTCTCTCTCTCTCTCTCATATATATATATATATATATTATTCATGAGTTGACCAGATAATTGAATAAAAAATATTAGGATTGATTGTTGCTCATCATTTCTTTAGCACCATCCCATTTGGAGAAGGTTCTGAAGGATCAAATTGCTGAGGGACAGCCCAGAACGCACAGACCTTGGAAAAAGATATTGGTGGTGGTGGAGGGAATCTATAGTATGGAAGGAGAACTTTGCAAGCTGCCCGAAATTGTTTCGATATGCAAGAAATACAAGGTGTATATCCATGGCAAGGCCATTTGCCCCTTATGGTTGATAATCACTATCATCTGACAATGTTCTGTGTGAAACTTTAGTTTTATTGCAAAACTGTTAAGATGTCTTTTTGCCATTGTATTTCTCAAGAATTCATCTATTGTGTAAGCGTCATAGTGATCATTGAGTTGCGATGTTTGTTTTTTCTTTTACCTCAGTTTTCATTTTGGAGGTTTGTTTATTTACATATTCTAATTGGGATTTTCTTCAGCTCTATTCTGACGTGCCTTTTGCTTTTTATGATTTCCGCTCCTAACAGGCATACATTTATCTAGATGAGGCCCATAGCATTGGAGCTCTTGGAAAAACTGGAAGAGGTGTCTGTGAGCTCTTGGGTGTTGATACCGCAGATGTGGATATTATGATGGGAACTTTCACTAAATCATTTGGGTCATGCGGTGGCTATATTGCTGGATCTAAGGTTCCTTTCATCAATATTCTACATATTTACAACTAAGTGCTGTTTCAAGTAATTAATTATCTTAATGCTGACATAGCTACTCAACATTTCTTAGACATCTAACTAAGCAAAACATATGAGCTCTTCGTTTCTTTTTTCTTGAGTTTATATTTCTAAAATCGACCTCTTTACTAAATCATCATTGCTTAATTCCTGCGTCCCAGAGCACATTAAATCACTGAGATACAAAACCTTTTTTCCAATGAAAGTTCTTGTAGGTTCTTTAATATGTCTTTGGAACATGGTGTCTTGGTGCACATGATAAACTGACAGCTTCCTCATGTGAGACGAATAATCCTATAATGAACTCCGTTTTCAGGAACTTATTGAGTACTTGAAGTACAGTTGTCCTGCTCATCTCTATGCCACGTCAATATCCCCACCTGCTGCGCAGCAAATTATATCTTCCATTAAGGTTGTTCTTGGAGAAGACGGTTCTTGCAGAGGTTGGATTTTCATCTTTTATCATTCATTTGATCGGTCCATATGGTTTTATGTTCACTACTGATTTGATGGCTTTTTTACCCACATGCCATGCACCTTTTGTTCGATGCAGGGGCTCAAAAGCTAGCTAAAATCCGGGAAAACAGCAATTTCTTCAGGTCCGAGTTGCAGAAGATGGGTTTTGAAGTTCTGGGCGACAATGATTCCCCTGTCATGCCTGTTATGCTCTACAATCCGGCAAAAATCCCTGCTTTTTCACGTGAATGCTTGAAGAGAAATGTATGCCTTTTCATATTTATTGGCCCCGACCTCTTGTTTTCCGTTGTTTAGGTTTTTATTTCTTACACAAAATCATTGATTCCGTGATATAGTTGGCCGTCGTGACTGTTGCTTTTCCTGCCACTCCTTTGCTGTTGGCGCGTGCCCGTATTTGCATCTCGGCTGCTCATTCGAGGGAAGACCTTCTTAGAGCTTTAGAGGTAAAAGTCCTACAATAGATGACCTTTTTAGTTACTTCTCCACCTCTACTTTTTTTTTTTTTCAGTTTATTAGCTTATTTTGCACGCTTTAAGCACCGGAAAGCTAATATTTTGTTGATTGCCGAAAAATATATACTTTGCATCTTTTTGTTTTTGCTTAGATTACTCTGCTTATTTGCATTAACACATTACACTCTTCCTTAGGAGGGCATTTCAAATGTAAAAACCCAAATGGGGTATTTATACTTTCTGAAAGCGATATATATATATTTTTTTTTTCCCGGTAATAACAAGCCGAAATGCTGGTGCAGTTTATGTAATTTATCTTTTAATTATCTATACATGACGTTGTGTAAATCTCGGTTTGGTCAGATTATTAGTGAGGTTGGAGACATGGTAGGCATAAAGTACTTTCCTGCCGAGCCAAATAAGCAGCAGCTAGAGGCAGACAGAGTGAAGCTGGAATAGAGATGAGTTCTTGGTTTTATTGAAGTTGTCGAGTTTCCTAAAGTAGGTTTAGAAGTAGCATGTTCGTAGTATTTCTCATCTCAGTGCCCGGTGACCTGAAATTTTGCTTTTGTACATAAGCTTGTAACTTCTTTCAGAGTGTGATAAGTTGGTAAAGTTGTGTTCTTTTGTTGTCTGAATGTTCTTTTGTATGGCATCTGAATGTCGTATGTTTTATAATATCCATATTTATTGAAGCCTGTGAATTATTTTGCACGCAACTGTAAATAATGAAGTTTGGGGGACTTGTTTTGCAACACCTGTGAAAGAATCATATTTAGGGACGTGAAAATGAAATCGTGCTATTTTTGTGTTGTTTGTTTTTGTAACAGCCCAGCATCTAACCCGCTACAG